AGCTGATATTAATTTACTTCGTGAATAACAACTACATATATTGGGAAAACGGGAATTAAAGTTTAATATTAAATGAATAATAATGAAGTTACTTAAATCATTAAGCCAGTCTGAACGAATAACTAGATATTTAGAAACCAGAAAAAATGTAAAAAAAAAAATCAGCAGAGCATTATTCATTTAAATAGTAACATTTTAAGCACAGATGTGGTAACGGAGATAATTTTTGAACAGGAGTCCCAACTTATGACAAGTACTGTATTCTAGGAAACTTGCTGCCCTCCTACCAACAATAAATTCAAGAAATGACATCCACATTGCATGTAAAATGCATGTGGACTGCCCATGACTTGCACCTGAACCTTTTTTTTTTTTTCTTTTTTTTTTTTATAGTAGAACCATTATCATAGCACTGAGATCTGCAGTTGCATAATTCTAGCATGCTCTTCATTATTAGTGATTCAGTACTTTCTAGCCAACTTAGACACACTGTGGCCCCTGCCGAATTTTGTATGCACCAATCTTACCAGACAAGCTCCTTCCTGACAGACATTTTCAAGTTCCTGTGTCAGTTATTTATCACATGGTAAGGTAATTATCAGGGAAGAGTGCTAAGCCAGTATAACTACATAGCTTCTGAAAGGGATATGAGGATGAGAGGATGGCATGGTATCCAGGCACTTGGACCATCAGGGATTAAGCACCAAGACTGCAAGGTGCTAAGCCTTGCAGTCTTGGCTTACCCATTGCTCAACTAACCTGTCCAAATTCACTACCTCAACAGAAATAAATACAAAATATTCTCAAATTTTGCTCCACATAATGGAAATTTTATGTTTTGCCTTTTTATTTCAATTTCCTTTATTTTTTAAATTTTCCTTCTTTGTATTTGGAAAATTCAAAACATATGGCATGAGGCACTTTAGCATGTGGTGCCCATGGCAACTAACTTTTATTTTTTATTTATTTATATATTCAACAGTTCTTGCATTCTTGTACAGCCACTAGCACGCATAGCTTCTCGGGCAAGTCCATAATCCTAATTTTCCCCGGAATACGACCCGCCAAATTGTTTAACAATTAGGTACCCATTCACTGCTGGGTGAACAGAGGCCACAGTTAAGGATTGGCACCCGGTCAATCATCCCCGGCCAGGACACGAACCCAGGCCAAAGCGCTCACAAAGCACTGGGTGAGTGTTTCACCACTGCGCTGCAGGGACTGCATGAACTTCGGACGAACTGTCCGAATGGCTGGCTCAGATTCAAGCAAACAGCCAACCGGACTGTGGTGGATATGTGGGCCTGCAGGCCACTCCCAGCAACAGCCTGTTGGATCAAGCTCTCATAAGTCAAGCCTGGCCCAGGGCCGAGCTCGGGGAATACAAGGACTCCCAGAACCCTCTTCAGGTATTTAAATGTTTGTTTCATCAGTTACTGTATTTGCAGCAATCTCAGAACTTGTGAACTTTTGACAAAACAGGTTACTTACAATTTACTGTACAGTTCCTGTACTGTATTTTCAAAACACTTAAAAGATATGGGAATCATTAAAATTAGTTTACAGAATATTAATTTAATCTTTTTAAATTAATTTCAAATTTGTATACAGTATTAACATAGATAAATTGAGTTAGAGAGGAATTATAGAGTAAAACTAAAATTGCTATACTACTGTAAAGCAGAAATTATATGATAATAAACTAATATTAACAAATTTCCAGGAGTCACCACAGTAAAGTACAGTACATGGTTTGATTATATTTTTATTTGTAATACACTGTACATATCATATGACACTTTTCAATTGTTTTCGGCACATGCTAACCACTCTAAGCAAACCGTCTTCACACTTAATTCACCTTAACCTGGACAAAATTAATAGCACCACTAAAAATTAGTGGTATTTAAGAGACTCAATTTGAACACATTCTTGAACCAATGAGCATTCGACTCAATAGGTTAGGTTGGTTGCTTATACTTTACTTAAGGTTGTCATATGCTTATAGTTAGGCAACATCCTTTTAAACTGGACGCTTGCCAAATCACAAATATGGGCTGCTGTAAGTGGGAAACGGGTGACGGAAGGTGATTCCTATGCAGATGATGAGTCACAATAACGTGGCTGAAGATATGATGACCAAACCACATGCCAAAAGATGAGGGCAACAAGAAGCCACCATGGCCCTACCAGAAAGAGGCATTTCATACATTCAAGGTTGGTTTTCTGGAGGGGCTGAACAGTGGCTTTGTGAAGCTATCAACAGAATAAAAAGAAAACAAAGGACTTACCATGGAGGAAGGGAAGAAAAATTGGCACTCATGAGATCAAATATCTGGAATGGGAAACCCTGATCCAGGGAAAACCCAAGCCTGATGGGTACCAGGGGCATTAACCAGGTGACAAGATATGCCAAGACCCCTGTTAGATCTCCAAAACCCGAGCCTAAATATTAGTCCATGACATGTTTGAAAACACTGTAGACAAAGTCTCAAGACCAAGTCATGTGCACATCATTGGCCTGAGGGTAGGCTGCAGGCTGGGTAGACCTAATGACACTGCAGAAAACCTGGGGCAAGAAGCCTTGAAACAGGGAACCAAAGATACACATCCACTGAAGCAGAGTGGATGGTGCGCAAGTAGTGTAGAACCACCAACACCAAACAACAAATGATGCATATTCAACCAGACAAACCAAGCATCAACTACCAAAGGAACCCTCCATTAGTCAAACATCTCCATATTCACCAGAAATGAAAGAGAACGCTGCAGATAAAGAAACTGCCCACCAGGGCCAAAGGAGCAAAACCCACACTTCCTGGGGTGAGCATGAAGCTTCCCAACAACTGTACACAAGGGCCAACAAAAACAACCATGAAAAACTTATCATGAGCCAAAGAGAGAACCGACAGTAGGAAAGAATCGCCAACACCTTTGGAGAGACCAAGATGGTTTAGGAGAACCATGAGCCGGCTGGAGGTGAAAGAAAACACGATACAATTTGCGAAACGCAGACAAAAATATGTCTATGTTGAATGCCAACAGAAGCAGCTCTGCCAAGGCCAAACAATAAGAGGCAACAGTGTTAGGCATAAGATGCCAATCGACAAACAACCAAGACAGAAAGGACAAAACCACTGGAATGGATACAGAGGAAACATGTTGGACTAAATGACAGAAGGAGCACCAAGAAATTGTATACTGCTGCCATGACAGAAGATATAAGTGGGAACCTACAACTTCGTCACCCATGCATCACACAGATAGTGATAAACTTGTCAAAACGTTCAGACATAAAGATGGGCAGAGAATGCCGAATCACCTTTGTCACCAGACCATTCTATGGAAAAAAGTTGAGCCGTAAAAAATCCTTGTGTTCAAACACTAGGCCAAAAAAGCAAGAAATCAAGGCTGAGCTGGCCACCAAGAAGCCAGAAACCATGGCTGAGCTGGCCACCAAGAAGCCAGAAAGATCACCCTGCCCACCTGGACAACACCTGAACTGGGAAAAAAGAGATAGAGAAGCCCCTATCTCGACCTATCCAGCTAAAAGACACCCCCCCCCCCCACTGTGAGAGCCTCATGATTTGAGAGTACTGTAGTAGGCATCCTGCAGTTTCAGGAGGCTGGAGAATGAAGCCACTTAAGTAGGAAGCTGCCAGTTCCAAGCCAACACAAAGAGGTCCACCTCAAGGCAACTGAACGTCTCGCAGAGCCAACGGAAGGACATTTCACTGACAGTCCCCTCTGTGGAAATGGGACAGAAACGAGAAACTATCTACGAGAATGTTGGACACCCAGCACGTGAACAATGCAGAGAACCAGAATCTTCTGAAGGGTCTACCACACTGCTGCAAAAGGCATTGCTTTGTGCCTGAAGGAGTGTGCCCGTCCAATGACCCTGGGAGATTTACCAAGCACTAGTCACAAAACCCTAATCCAGAGCCGAGGCATCCATGAACAAACTGAGTGATGGGGATTTAATGCACCATGGGACTGAACCCCAAAGAGGTTCAGTCCAACAATGTGCAAGACAGGCCAAGAAAAACAATGCAAGAGCTGATGAAGGGCAAATGGGGCCTGAACCCAAGAGTCCTGGCCGTGGTGAAGCAGACAGAACTAGAGCCAAACACCAGAACACCTGGAGCCAAATACTTCCCAAAAGGAAAACAATATGCAAGCAAAGTTCAGCCTCCCGCACAACCGATCAACCAATCCCTGAGACACCCAAGGCCAATCCAACATCAGGCAGCGACAGTGTTTCAGGTGGAGCAGAGCCACTGGAAGCAGAAAAAGGGAAGCTGATTAGGAATCCCAAACTAGGCCCTGAACCAACTGGGATTCAACTAGCAAATTCACCAAAAACCTGAATGTGGCAAGCGGGGAAAGAACCAGATCCCTGGCTAGCCAACATACAAACTGGCTGGGATCTCATACCTGCCAGCCATGAGATATGCCAAGACACGAACCCCCCTAAGAGATGTCCGAATATCAGGTTAATGTAGTCCTAATATTTAAGAAGGGTGATAGGCAGGAGGCACTGAATTATAGAAATAACATCTATTAGGACCAGTGCCCCTTACTTGCATACCATGCAAGATGATGGAGAAGATTGTGCAAAAAAAGCTAGTGGAACACCTGGAGTGAAAGAACTTTTTAACACAACAACACCAGAACATGTGCCTACAGAAGGATAGCCCTAAACACATGCAGCTCAAGGCGAAGAAAGGACCAAGTCCATGCAACAAATGAGGCTTGAACACACACTTGTGAAGCAAATACCAAAATCTAGAATGACACACAAGCAAATGGCCCTAAAATGACAGGGTCCAAAAGATGCCTCATGCATAGAAGGGTCGAGAATTCCGGGATCGAATCCTGGGCAGGACAGAAATGGTTGGGTGTGCTTCCTATCACCTAATGTTACTGTCCACCTAGCAGTAATTAGGCACCCACGAGTTAGTCAGCTTGCTGTCAGGTTGCATCCTGGGGAGGGTCAATAATTGGACCCTGGGGGGGGGGGTCCTCGATATACCGGTAAGCCTAACATGTACTGTATGTATATACAGTACATATATGTACATATATGTACTGTATGGCTGCCTGTCCCCCGACACAATGAATTTTGAATTACCAGTACTGTATCTTAGAAAAAATGGGACTCGCTAAAGTTGGCTACTCAAGGTGGTCCACATTCGAGGACATCAAAGACAGGACTAAGGTTCTGATGACATGGAAATTGGCAGCTCCCAGTGGTGCTGCCACCTGTTGGTGGTCAGCTGTAATGAGGTGGGTTTGATTTAGCTATTAGGTGAATCATTTGCAGCTGCTTCCATTCTTGCAGTTGTTTGAATGGCTTCACTTACTTTCTGTATATTTTTTCACTAAGGGTGATCATAACAGTGCCCTGCTCCCTGTGTCTCTGAAGGCGGGGGAGGGGCCAGGCTCTGGACCCGAGTATGCCATTCATGACTCCTAAGACAAATGTGACTCATCTATGTTGAGCTAGCTTCAGATTGCCACCATTTGGCCCTTCAAACACAAATATGTTGTTATGTGCAACAAATAAAGTCTTACTTAAAATATTTTGTGCATAATACATGTGTTAGAATTGTTATTTAGGCCTTTGTTTATGTACCCAGCTGGTGGCTAATAGAAGGAAATTTCACTCGGTAATCCAGCAATTCCATCTAGATTGGGTTTCCACTATGAATATATACAATCACTTGTGCTGGAAATTTAACATTTGTTTTTCTTATTTTGTAACATAGCCTAGAATTTTTAATAATGCCTCAAGGCCTTATAACATAACTTACTTCATTAGTTATTTTCTTTCATAAGACATTTTCTTGAGATGGCAATCTGAAATTCATGCACTCAGCTTTTTCCTGACACTCCAAATAGTATCACAACACACACAGGTCTAAAACAAATTCTGCACTTCCATTCAATAACGGAAAATTTGTTACTCCTATCTATTATGCCTCAGCATGTGCAAACTCCAACTGGATGGTCTGGTCACTTGTGGAGCATGTCTAAGATAAGGATCCAGATCTCTCATACGCTGAACCACAAAGGTTGTGTCCCCACCACCACCACCACCACCCCTGATTCGATTGACTACTCCTTCAGTTGTCAACTGCGGTCCAAACTCAAGCTGCTCCTCATCTATTGGTGAAGCTATCGGCCAGATCTCGGTTTTCTTCCTATCTATTTCTGTCAGAAGTTTCGATAAACTTGTCTGAAGGTGAATGGCTTTTTCATCGAAGCCGAAGGTGATCAAGGTGGTGCACAGAGCGGTGACTGATGTAGCCATACTATCTGCTGTAACACACAATGCATGCAGGGCAGTGACCAAGCCCAGATCTTCATGTGTACTACCCTCTTTTGTGCTAAATTTTTTCCTCTCTAACTTCTTCTTGTTTTTAGTGGAGCGATATGTTTTTCCAGAGGCAGAGGTGCCGGCACGGGAGCCAGTGGCGAGACTCCTAGAATAGGTAATTCCTGTCACTGTGCTCGTGTCTGAATAGAGGTCAGAATCAAGTTGACCCTCAACATTTCCTTCCAAAAAATCAAGATGCTGCCTTTCCTTATTCTCTCGCACCACAGCCAGTCTAGAGCAGTACTGCTTAAATGTACTGTCAAGCCTCTCTATATCTGCCAAATAATAAACCCACTGTTCTAGAGCACCTGGCTTGATATTTGTGTCCACAAGGTCTGGGCGGTTATATTTGTATGCCACCCTCAGTGCATCTTCCCACTGATTGCCTTTTACTAAGCAATCCAATGCCTCCTCTTCATTTTTCAGGTATTCCTCATAAATCCAGGCAGCATCTACATGTTTGTTCCAGTTCTTAAGAGCTTCTACAAGCGAGTAACAGAGAACATTCATCTCCTCCTTATTAAACTTCAGTTGTGCCCCAACAACAAGTACCATTTTCCAGTTGCCAGCCTGCTGGTAGGCATGCAGAGCCTCGTCAAGCTTACCGGCACGTGTGTACATGACTGCCGCTTCGTTGTAGTATTGTTTTGACATGAGATACATTCCGTATCTTTCACAAACAGCTTTGTTCATGTCTGAAGATGAAGGAAATATTTGTACAGCTTCCTTGTACAAATGTTCTGACACAATCAGGTTAAGACATTCTTCTTTATGATCATCTGTGTCCCTCAAACATTCTAAGGCCTTCTGAAACCGTCTTAGGTGGACATTGATCTTAAATCTTCGATAATTTTCTTCAAGTTGTTTAAGGTCATTCAGGAAGGGAAGATACTCTTTTGGATCTTTTTGGGACTTCTCTGCAACCATCATAACAAGATCGAAGTCATATGTTCCAAGTGCAACATTGTACAACTCATTGACATCAGCAATATAGAGTAAATGTCTCAATCCTTCATCGGCAGAGACTTTAAACTTTTTATCTTTTTCTTCCCTCATTTCTTGAATCTTCTTTAAAGCAACATCCATCTGGCTGGGAGTCATTTTAATATAAGTAGTCAAAATTGGTAAAAGGAACTTGTCCTCATCAACAGCAATCATTGCCTCTCTAACAGCTTTACAGACAACATCAATCTTGCTTCCCAACTCTTGACTTTTGCAACCTTTATTCTGCCCACTACTGTAGTTGAATGAGTACATGGTTTGTGTAACATCAATCTCACTCAGACTAGCTATAAACAGGTCTATCCAATGCGGGTTATCAACATTTTGAACAAAGTGAGTAACATGAGCAAGAAAATCTGCTGGGTCATGGTCGTAAATGAGATTCAAGTCTATCCGCTGAATTCTAATAATATCCATTACTTTATGATACTTGTGCTCATTCAAGAGAAACTTCAGAGTGTGAACTGCTAGGGGTCGGGGACTAACTACTTCAAGATTGCCACGAGGCATCTGCATTACTACTCGTGTGTCTTGAGGCACAGCTGTGACAATACGAGAACCTCTTTCTACTCTCCGCAACCCAACAACCCCACCAACCTCAGCACTTCCAGTAACTAGTTTACTAAGGGCATTTTTCATGAGTGGCACTATTTGAAGCAGATGGTTAGTTGTAGTTATTAGTAAGTGATCAACATGAATGTGGTAAGATGTACAATTTGCAAGGAGCTGATTATTTCCCCAATACAAACGATTCCTGGAAGTCAACCCCAGAGGAATGATTTCAGATCCATCATCAACTGGGCAAAGACTAACTTGCTGGCATACACTAGGGAACTTTACTTCTTCTCGATTTTCAGTGTACGGCTCAATCACCTGCGTCTGAAGATTTAGTACAAGTAGTGCTCCAGATATAAGCTGGAGGACAGCAATTGCACCATCAGGAGAAGGCGCTATACTAATTACTGATTCTTCTACAGGTATTATAGCCTTTACTGATACTCGTCCTGCCTCGGATCCTATGGAATGAAGATCAATTATAAAAACCAAACAATTGTCTTCATTCTTGCAGCATGCTAAAATTGTGTTCTTTGCTACCCAAACCCAATTGCACAACTGAGAAATTTCTGCCGACTTTGGAATTTCTTCATGGTCCCATTCTATTTTAAGTTGAGCAATCACTCGATGTACCTTGACCTTAACAGTGAAGCCATTTCCTCCCGCTCCAGTGATCTTTACATTACAGCCATGATCATCCAAGATGTCATTTGCGTGTGCTTGGGTCAAGAATGTCAAAGTTTCAGATCCGTGCAAAACACAAAGATTGTTGCTGTTGCAACCAGGAGGATCAAAGGCCTCAAGAAATCCTGAGTCTTCCACACACTGAGAATTATCTGGTGAAGCTTCACAGGTTTTGACTATGGATGGAGCGAACATTACAGCATTTATCTGCTCTGTGAATGTGACTCTGTATGCTGACATTGGAGGTGGCACAACCGACTGTCTGAAAGGTGTCAAAAGTAAATTTGTGCCATCAATCACTGCAACTAGAGCAAGATCAAGAGGACCAATTCCACGAGAAATGTGGTTCACTGTAACCCAACTGTAAGAATGGAGACGAGTGTGAGTAAGTAAATGTAACAAAAGTGGGCTCACATTATCCCAGCATAAATAAATGATGCCTTCTGTAAACCTTAGCTCCTGCTTTAAATACCAGTGGTAGTTTCCAGTTGTCCACAACTGGACTATATCCTTTGTTATTTGACCATCTACAGTCTCAGTTACAGTCTTTGGCTTAAGCCAAACCAAAAGAACACTAGAATCTTGATTCCAAGCAACTTCATTTACAAGCATCTCATTGGGCTTAAAAGGCAAATTAAATTCTCCATGCTTAAGGCCATTCTTTTCAAAAAATACTACCTCATGCTTATTGGCGAGTCTCTGAGAGGAGGCGATCAAACTTCCTGCAGGTTTCCAGGAAAGAACTTGTTCTAACCCGTTTAAATCTTCACTAGTGTACTGTAAGATTCCCTCGCGATTAATTATTCGAAGACGCCGACTCTGTGTGTCCCGTGCAATATAGCTTACAACAAAGAGCTGGCCGTCGCCACGCCAACTGATCCTTGGTTTGTGATCGTCCCATTCAGAAGCTGTTATATTATTAACTGTCTGTGTCACAACTTTAGCTGCCTGTTTACCCTCTGTACCATGAAACTGTGTCTCCTTTTTTCCCCAACCAACATTAATGAATTTACTTTGTCCAAAGTCGTCCTGATTCAGGAAAAATTCAACAATTGGATCAAAATCTGCTGTCATTACTACTACATTAGCTTCTCCAGTCACTAAGATAAGAAGTTCTTGGTCAGGGCTCCAGCAAGCAGCCTCCAGGCCAGCAGAGACAGTACCCACAACTTCAACCTGTAAAATCATACAAAATATTTAGCCATTACTACAATTAATAGTCACAATACAGTACCGAGATGGTTAGGGCATGCAGTGCAGACAGATGATGGCAGACTAGTGAAGAGAGTACAGTATTTCAATTAATTTAATGATTGGGAGAGAAGAGAAAGAACAGGAAGGCGATGTGCTATAGTGTACTCACCTAATTGTACTCACCTAATTGTGCTTGCGGGGGTTGAGCTCTGGCTCTTTGGTCCCGCCTCTCAACCGTCAATCAACTGGTGTACAGATTCCTGAGCCTATTGGGCTCTATCATATCTACATTTGAAACTGTGTATGGAGTCAGCCTCCACCACATCACTTCCTAATGCATTCCATTTACTAACTACTCTGACACTGAAAAAGTTCTTTCTAACGTCTCTGTGGCTTATTTGGGTACTCGGTACTCTAGTGTGCGTGTGCGTGTGTGTGTGTGTGTGTGTGTGTGTGTGTGTGTGTGTGTGTGTGTGTGTGTGTGTGTGTGTGTGTGTGTGTGTGTGTGAGAGGAAACAGGTAAAACGAGTGAGCGTATATTTTTTAATTTATTTATATATACAACAGTTCTTACATTCTTGTACAGCCACTAACACGCATAGCGTTTCAGGCAAGTCCTTTATCCTAATATTCCCTGGAATATGACTCGCCAAATCGTTTAACAACCAGGTACCCATTTTACTGTTGGGTAAACAGAGGCTACAGTTAAAGAGTGGTGCTCAGTAAATCCTCCCCGGCCAGGATACGAACCCAGGACAAAGTGCTCGCGAAATGCAAGGCGAGTGAGTGTCTTACCACGTCGCCATGGGGACTGTCAAATATAAAGTACCATATCTTTTATACTGCAAGATATATGGTACTAGACAAGGCTAGGTGGAGACTATTTTTAGAATAGCGTGAATGTGTTTATCCACACTAAATGTACACAAAGAACACTACACTTGTATACTCTGACACTTCAATGTCAGAGTAGTTAACAGATGGAATGCATTAGGCAGTGATGTGGAGACAGACTCTATACACAGTTTCAAATGTAGATTTGTTAGAGACCAATAGGTTTAGGAATCTGCACACCAGTTGATTGACAGTTGAAAGGCGAGACCATAGAGCCAGAGCTCAACCCCGCAAGCACAACTAGGTGAGTACTTGATCTTACAAAGTGGTGTGGTGCGGTTGAGAATGGCTACTAGAGTGAAGTTTTTTTTTCCAGGAAGCATTACATTATGACATAATGAATGGACAAGTGATATTTTGTCTTATTATTATTATTTAATACTGTATCTATATTCTGTTTTTGCTATACTGCATTGTCCACCTATTTTTCTCTGTGCTGATGCCTCCCCATCCTGTATGAGTGTGACTGTGAAAGGCATTACGAAAGTCTGCATGTTACCATAAGTATCTATCACCATTATTGACAATGATTTTCCATCCCTTCTATCCAAGTACCTTTCCTGTCGGAAAATCCGACACCATTTAATAATCATACAGATAATAGCTGTGTTGTATAAACAAGTTACCCATAGAAAACGTAACTTGTAGTGGAATTACCATCTAAAGAAAACGGGATATCATCACCACATACCATTATAATTCACCAGCTATTCTGCTGGGAATTATTCTTAAATACATTAGTCTTTGGACTTTACCATCATAAAAACATCTTATATAAATTAACTTAATTATCAATATTAAAGTAGAGTAAATGTGACCCTTCTATCACTTTCTGAAATCTGGACAAAGTAGGCCAGGCGTCAGAGTGGGGAAGGAGGGCAGCCATTGTTGTTTATAGAGACCAGAGGCTCACACGGGAGCAAATTCGGCTCCTGTTAAATTTACTTGGACGTAGTGTTAGGGATACCAAAGGTGTACCATCTGTCAACACGCTGTCAACAAATCAAGTTAAGTGTTCTTTCCGAAACCCATTATCTATCATTAGTGGCCATTAATGTCATTGGGTAGGGTTATCCGGTTAGATCACATGGAAGCCTCAAACTAAAGGTAATTAAGCCAGGTCCTCATGTTCCATGTACTGTTTTCTCTGATATACTTGTCATATATAGGATTCTGGCTTCACAGCTAGCGCACTTTTGACAGGTCAAGACGAGGAAGGATTTGTGCACCAGTTACTGGGTGATATGGAAGCTACCTCAAAGAGGATAATTTGGTGTCTACACCCTAGTTATACCTGGTGGACTAACCTGCTGTACTATAAGATAAGGAACCTCTTCAATGTATGTAGTTAATTTTGTAGTTTGATTGGCTGCATATATATATAAACTATTAAACCCCCCCTAATGTGTAGAGGATCGATTTGTGAGATTATGAGATTATTGCAGAAATACAGTCCACTTATCATTATACAAATTGCTATCGAAGTATATAAATTAACGTAAATATAAATTCATATAAATTAAATAAATATAAATCTCACAGGTCGGTTCCCACATTATTTGGTCCTTCGGAACCGGATTATTTGGACCTTCGGAACCGGAATATTCGGTCCTATGAACCCACATTTGGTCATCTTAGTACCGGATGAACCAGTTAACCAGTGGATTCATTAAATATACTAGTGCAGTGTTATTTAAACAAAGCCAGCAGTCAAGACGGCAGCGTAGCCTCGAGGGAGCTCAGGAGCCTCCCTCAGCCCAGTTCAGCTTCGTCAGCGGTTTCATGCACACCCACAGATATTTGGTGGCGTGTTATTTCGTGAAATGACAGCGCTAATATAGAATCCAGCCAAATTAGTGACTGTGTCTTCGCGAGATTGTTCACGGATTTCGTGGTGTTACATTTCGCGAGAGATTATCTACGAATTTTGTGGAGTTTATTTCGCGAGGTCACTAATAATATTTAATACTTCTAGATAATAATAGAAGTTTCATAGAGGCTAATTAAGAGGCTATTATCAATAATTGTGTATATTATTTCTCCAAAATAGAGAATTATTTAATATATATTGCACTAGTGATCACAGTATAATATTTACTAATTGCCAACCCACAACAGGGTAGGATATTAACCATTGACTAGTTGAACTATTATTGCTCATCCTAGTCCCATTATTACCATAGTCAGTTGTACTATATTGAATAACCTAACACCATTAATGAATGGTCCAGACCCTATTTTGGGTGTAATTATTATCAACTCGAATTGAGTTGTATATATAATAATTTACTTATGGTCATTACACCTTTGAGTGATTAATTAGTGTCTCTACCATCCTAGGGTGATATAGAAGAGCTAACCTAAAGGTACTTCCAGTGACACTGGTTTATCACTCAAATCATTAGTGTGGATGATTGTATATATATAATGTGTATTAATTTTAAGTGCTAACCTCTAGTAGAGGTAGGATTATTGCCTAGTGAGTGCAGAATTTACCCTAGGCTACCATTAGTGTTTGTTCAGTATTATGAGCGACCCAAGTACAAGTCCCACAAGGCTTCACCAACGAGCCAGTATGGATAATGCAGGGAGAATGAAAAGAACCCTTGCAGGTCTTAAAGGCCACTTAACAAGACAGATCAAGAAATGTGAAGATTTGTCACAACAATCTCAAGTTGATTATGCTGACCTGGAAAGCTATTATCAAGCAGCTGCAGGTAAATTTGAGCAAATCAAATGCCAAATAGCAACATATGTGGCTGAACTTGCCAACATCAATTTATCAGAAACAGAAATAGACGACATTATGGTTGATCTTGCGAATTATGAAGATCACACTCAGGCCACGTTACAGCCTTATGTCAAATTAATTGCCCAGAACAAGGCAACAGCAACAACAACAACAGTTGCATCTAATACGAGTCAAGCAGAAGCTCGACTCCCTCCAATTAATTTACCCACTTTCTCAGGAAAAGATGAGGAAGATTGGGACGAATTTTGGAACAAATTCGTTGACCTTGTAGACTCAAAACAATCTTTACCAAAGAGTAGTAAATTCTCTTATTTGCAAGGCCAATTATCAGGTGAGGCTAAAACAGTAGTATCCCATCTGAGATTAACTAATGACGGCTATGATCTGGCAGTAAAACTCCTCAAGGATAATTATGCTGATCCAGAAGTAAGAACATCACATTTAGTTCATGAGCTGTTGCATTTACCCCCACCGGAGGCTTCAGCTGATTCACTCCAAGTCTTCAAGCTGGAGGTAGAATCATTGATCAATGCCCTCAGCCTGACAGCAGATACAAACGGGGCTGAGTGGGTCTTGAAAATAATTGTCCAGGAGAAAATACCTAGGGACATATTGAGACAAATGAGTGCTCATTACAATAAAAGCATCTTATCCATGAATGAAATATCTGAAGGTTTAAAGTCAGTAGTTCATCAATTACGAACACATGACAAATTAAAACCACCAAGTAAACCCTCAGAAACCAATAATAGTAAACCACAGAGTACCAAAGGTACTCCAAATCAATCTAGACAATATAATTCAACACCAAAGTGGAACAGTAGCAGTGTGGGCGTATATGCAGTGGGACCCTCCAAGCCTATAGTTACTGTGTCACCCAAGAACGTGACACCAAAGGGTACTGGAAGCTATGGAACATGTTTGTTCTGCAAAGAGAAACATTCAATGTACCACTGCTCTAATTATCCTGATAGTGACGCCCGTGTTGAGCGACTCAAAGATTTGCAACATTGCACGAGGTGCCTCAGGAAACATAACATCAACGACTGTGATACCCAATTACACACCTGTAATAGGTGTAACAAAGGTCAGCACCATGCAGCATTGTGCAGAGACACCAAAACAACGTCTCCAAACCCCAAGGTGGAAGATAGCATTCCCACCACAGTACAGTACTGCAAGGTGCAACAAACAAAGAGTGTCCAATCGGCAAAGTCTAAAGGTAATACGACTTTGCCTACTGCCCAAATTACCATCCTGAATAAGAGGGCCAAGGTCCATACCCGTGGGTTGTTTGACCAAGGATCCCAGAGAACATATATCACTAAAAAGCTGG